AGGAATATTAGTTTACATTCATAAAAAAGCTCAAGTGATGTTAATTCTTTTGCTTTATTTGGTGTTAAACACTAATCAGCACAATGGACTATCTGTTTTATGCCCACCTCAGGGAATGAACCCTAAAGTTTTGAGTTATAAGCCATTGGGCTCATACCTCAGCCATGTCGGTAATGATAGAGTAGACAAATGTAGCTGTCAACAAATTATCTGACAAATAATATTTGTTGTCGACGTTATGTGTCTTTTATGTTATATTTGATATGAATCTGTTTAATGACAGAAATAATAGACCTATATTTAATAATACGACTTTTCACACTAGACATCGGGTTTTTGAAACCCGCGGTGAGAAGAGCATAGATACTTCAGTATGTATTTTCAGGTTGTGCTTTTAAACAAACAAACAAAAATCATGAAAAGGTTTTTACTTCTGTTGAGAGTTTAAAATTTTGCTAGATCTTGAGAAATTAAAGCAGAAAGTACATAAACGTTACAATTTAATTTAACACCACCCGTTTCCACTTATCAAGACCTTTCTGAGTTCAATCTTTATAAATTAAATTTTAAGCTGAATCGAAGGATCTAACTACTTTGTTTACAAGTCGATTAAACAACGTTAATATTTACTACAACATAATAAGTGCAACATAGAAACATAAATAATAAACTTGTACTAATAACGATGAAAGAAACTCACAATTTAGGATGAATTTTAAAACAGATGAATTGATTACAGAAATACACGCGTTACTCAGTAGTTAAAATCATTATTAGATAATAGTTTCGTAAATAAAGTGAGGAAGTAATTATAAAACAATGAAATCAAGTCTAAATTAGAACTCAAAATACCTGAAACAGTATAAACTGTTACTTTATCCCGTTTATCAATTTGGTTCTTATTGACAAAAGAAGTTCATATTTTTCGGGAGCTTGGTTTTGTCTGTGCAGTTGATAACATCCTTCTTTACTTGTGGTTAGGTTATTTTGCATCAACATTGGTGTAGCCATTAGCATCATTATTTAATGGTCATAGAGAAGCTGCTGTTGTTGCTGTGACTGTTCTCCTAACTTGGTCACAACCCTCAGTGGTAGTCCTTCTATTGTCTTGTTAGGTTGGAGAAGACTTTCTTAAGTTTGGAAAACAATTTAATACAACTAGTATTTGCATATAATATAAATGAAACTGTTAAGTATAAAGTATTAAACAGCTATTTTAATAACTTGATATAAACTGTTATAAATTAAGACGTAAGGTTTTCTCCCAGTTTTCTATGAAATGAAGTTATTTAATTTCGTACATGAGTTTTTATAGAAAGTTTAAATTCATCCCAGTTTATTAAGTCTTTTATATCAAACAAGTTCTATGTTGCTAGTAAAAACGTTTAAATCATAGATCTGATACTGAGAAAGTTTTTTATTTTTATTCACTGCCTCTTGGTTGGCATAAATAAGTACTGTTGTTAAACATATTAGAAATAGTTTTCCATTTGAGACGTTTTTGCCGTGGTTTCATAACTATGTAAGCCAAGTGAAGCTTACTGAATTACTTTATTTTTCTTCAGGATTATAAAACATAGTGTTATATATTGTTGTTTTCCATTTGCCTCAAAGATGTTTCTTCCTGTCCTTCCAAACTACTAGTATTTATTTTCTACATACAGCATATAAAACATTGTGTTTGTATCAAATTAAAACCTGATATTAAAAGATCGAGTTTACAAAGATAAAATGTGTGTGTAGTTTTAGGTTAACATGTTAATCGATTTTATTCATAGAAAACAGAATACAAATGTTGTCTTTGTGAATATCTATACGGTATTTATTCAAAGGGAAAACTTTACATGTACAATCAGTAGAGAAATACAATAATTTAATTATAATCTGTTTCTCTTCTTCAATTTGATTTATTTCTTTTATTCGCAAGAGTGCAGAGGAACACTGAAAAATTGTTTATAACAAAACATTCTCAGTTGGAAACGTTATATTCAGGTTTGTTAATATTGAACACAACTAACACTTTAGTTGATCTGAAAATATTTTTAATATAACAATCTTTTGTATCTATTTAGACTTCACTAATGACAAGCTTGAAGGCTAAGTTTTTGTATCCTTCCTGCTGTACAGTAAGAGATTTGATGTTACCTTAACATTGACGACTGTTTCGAGTAATAACTGAATATTCGTCCCAAGCAAGATTAACTTGATGTGTCCTTTTAAAGTCTTGTCTATATGAACTAAATCTCCCGGGAGTTTTGGTTTCGTTTATCATTGTCAGAAGAAGCGATCCACTTTTATGTAAGTCCTATATTTCAGATAAAGTTGAGAGAATCACTGTGCTTTTTAGTATCTTTGTGAGAAAGGCATTCCTGGGAAAAGAAATATGATGTCGATATCAAAACGAAACTTAATCAGATCTTGACTTTTGCTTTCAGTCTGTCTCCAGAAGCTTCTCCAGTAATTCTCTACTAAATTGAGTTTTGCTGCTTAAGAACATTT